ATTAAGATGAATGGCTCAGCTACAAATCCTCTGTAAACAAGAACAAATTAAAACTGTGTGGGTTACTTTCTGAAGTTTTGTTCTTGAAGAGGGTTGGATATGACGATACCACTCTCAAGCCTGTTTGGTTAATTTAAAACCTTAGCTTACAGCTGGTTAGCTTAGCTTAGCATACAAATACAGACAAAGGGGGTAAAAGCTAGGCTGACTCTCCTAAGTATTGCTTATTACTATTTATTGAATGTGATTTAGACCTACTAAGTTAGGTACCAAATCACAAGTTTCATCATTATACAATTTAATATAGTTTTATAGCATACAATACAACATTTGCTGATATCAGAAAGTTGATTTTGATTCAATTTGATACAAAATCAAGTGCTCAAAATAGGATTTTATACTTTTATACTGGGTTCTGTAGGAAGAAGCTAAAATGCCATAGGAATCTCAAAATAAATGTGTATGTTAAAAATGATGATATGTGTCAATATTTTCACTTTGCATTGCTGATATTGGATTGTTGATCAGTCAATCGATGCGTTGATCCAAAGTGAACAAATGTGGGGCAAATAAACTAAACTTAACAGTGTGTTAACACTTAACACATGTGCACTATAATTAATGTTACTTAAACACATAAAGACTTGTAGTAGACAGTATTGTAAATGCACAGACTCATCCTGCTTTCATGTTTATAGCTTCTCCACTGGCTTTAATGTTCTGTAGCTATAGCAGGGAACGCTGTAAAAAAGCCACACTGCAGCCCTTCAATGATAGCTAGAGCTGTCTGTGCGACATAAAACGAGCAATAATCCAAAAGTAGCCTGGTGTGGGTACGTGTCGGCCCGGGTCAGTGCCACATTGTGAGAGGGCTGTATCCTTCTCTGTGTTTACTCAGACTGTCCATGTAATGATAGGGATATCTGTAAAACTACCACTGCCGCCGCCACACTCCCTGCTAAGTAAGCGTCTTCTCCTCCACAATGGCTGCTATTTCTTCTCCGCTCTGTGTGTTCCTAAAGTTGGGTTAACAACTAGCTCACAAACCAGTGTGTTCAACAGCTCTTTTCTCTCTTTCTCTGTCTGCAGGCTCAATAGCCTTAGGTATGTGTATGAAATAGCCTTCTCAAAGATTGCCCTGTTGGCTCCTTTTTCCTCAGTCACTTTATGTGATTTCCCCTTTAAGGAAGCACTTACAACACCACACAAAGACACGGCTGTTGTCCCGTTGTCTTAGTTTTTTATGCATTTTCCAGTCTGTCCTCCAAATATGGATAATCTGAAGGGACGCTTGTTCATTTTTTTTGTGCTTCTTTTTCTTTGTGCATTTAAAGCACAGTAGCACAACTGTTAGTTGTTCTCAATATGCAGATACAGCTGTTTCTCCTCCTTCTGCCACTATGAGTTCTCCAGTGCATGAAAAAAAAACTATAAAAGAGCCTCTGCCTTGTCTTTGTCACTTTCCTCTATAAACATGTCCACCAGTGCATGTGTTGTTAGTCTAGCAGCCATAAAACGGGAAAGGCAAGACATTAGGCTTCTGTGTTTTTAGTAACAAGAGAGTGGAATCTATTTTAAAGGTGTTTACAGGAGGGGGTAGGTGTAGTTTTCATGGAAATCCAGGTTTATATATGATTATGGCCTTAGTGTCACCCACACACAGATAATGCAGTGTCCATATTTGTCCCAACTATTCACCTCTGTCCCTATCAGTAAGGGTTACAGGATATTCTGGGATGGTCTCCCACAGAGTGTAAATATAGATGCCACACCCTCTGCCTGAAATGCACACACAAACACACAAGCTGTCCTGTTCATAACATCTAAATGATCAACCAGTGGCACAGCATTGCATAACACCCTCGTATCCCCTCGTATATTAAAGTTATTCATGCAAACTAGATTTGTTAAGGGTGTTCGAGTTCAGGGTTTGTGTGACTGTAGGCACTCCTTAGGCACTCCTCCACACACACACACACACACACACACACACACACACACACACACACACACACACACACACACACACACACACACACACACACACACACACACACACACACACACACACACACACACACACACACACACACACACACACACACACACACACACACACACACACACACACACACACACACACACACACACACACACACACACACACACACACACACACACACACACACACACACACACACACACATTATTTTGCCCACTGGAGTAGATTGTTCTCTGAAAGCCTTGGGAAATGAATCCCAGACAGCTGAGCTCCTCTCAAAGCAATCTGAGATCCTAGTTCACCGTGGTAATTGCTTGACAATGCTTTCTGTTACATGGCTCATGTACTATCAAGCAAGGACACTACAGGTTATACGATCCTTGCTGAACTCGGAGTCTCCGGAGAATATGACCAAAGATAGAGTGTGTAAATGTGGCAGGTTTTGCATAAAGGTTTTAGCTGACAAGAATGCATATTTAAAGTGAAAAACACAGCAATTCAAGGAACAGCTGCATCACAACGCATCTCACAACTCTGTCAAAAACGCATTTTTGTCAAATATTATGTGTTATTTTATGTGTTATTTCAACTTTGTATTAGTTCTACTTTACTTGAATTTGTCACTGCCTGTCTTTAAAGGGGCCTTATTATGCTTTTGGGGGTTTTCCCTTTCCTGTAGTGTGTTATAAAGGTTTTTGTGCATGGTTGACCAATCACAACAAAGCCGGCCAGCTAACCAATCAGAGCCGACTGGACTCTGGTTTCAGACAGAGGGTGAAAAGAGGTGCTGCAGCACAGGCAGTATGAGGAAAACAAAGATAATTTGAACATTAAAGCATGTAAACAAAGTCAGAGTAGAAGCACAAAATACAAATATGAACCTGAAGATGAACATACAGTAATATTTCCTCTTTATAAATGAGTAGAGCATGAATATAAAAGGTCCTCTTTAAATGAGAAGAACTTGATTTGGAGAGAGAAACCAGACTCAAAACACATGACAGCGTAGCAGAGCCAAGAGTTATCTTTGTGGTTTTAATTGCCTTTGCAAGTAATCAAAACCACAGACTACAATATGTCCTCTTTGAAAGAGAGGACCAGACAACAAGTCCATTGAACAGCAGCTGAATGAAGTGATTCACACCAAGCAGCTCCACAATCAAAACTGTACTTTGGTCTACAAAGATCCCTCTTTGACCATTCACGGCTGTTCTGTTTTGCACCAGAGCGAATGTTATCCTGGTGTTTGTATAAAAAACGTATGATGTTGATGTTATTCCAGCGCCGGTGATAAGCTACAGTAGCTGCTGGCTAACAGAGTCTCTTTCAGCAGAGATTTGATAGATGAAGAGGCGGAGCGTGAGCCTGACTCACTGATGCCACATTAACCTCGAGCCTCTCCACAAGCTTCCTTTTCTCAGCGTTCTCTGATCAAATACAAGAACCATGAATTAGCAAATCTGCGTGTTGGCTGATTATTAGCTTTGAACCAGAAATCTGCCTTACCATCCACTACACTTGTCACATTTTCCGCTACTACACGCTGCATGATGCCAACAGTTCCTACTGCTTCAGGCCGTCTTCTTGCTATTTGTCTTGCCAAAAACACACCAGGGAAAAGGGGTTTTTCCTTTTGCCTTTATTTCCCATGCATTTAATTAACTTTCAAGGGCGTTCTTGTCCATGCACACATTACAAAGCAAAGTCAGCATTTTTCCATGCTAGACCAACCCTCTTTCACAGTATATGAATACAAGGTAATCTCAAGGTAATTTCAGTCCTGTTGAAAATGATGCACGCAAGTACTGTAAGCCCCCAGTCCAGAGAGAGAGCACGTATGATGCCCTTTCATTTAATTTAGCTTACAGGAGTCACTGTTAATTGATCACTTAAGTAAAAATAACATTACGTTTCTCTATCTTCTAAAAAAACTAAAGCAAAACCTCCAGTTGTTGTCCTTTCTCATAGAAGACAAGAGGCAGCTCTGCCCAATTCTCACACCCTTCAAAAGAACACTCATAGCCAAGTATACAAAGCAAGGTTGGCACACTGCCTGGCACTTTATTCAAAGCAATGATGATCTCATGCCTGACTTCATTGGGGAATCATTGACTTATCTCACAGCAATGCTTGACAGTAATCAGGAAGCTCCTCCGAGAGACACAAATGCAGGAAGTGCCCACAGAATCAAATGTTCCCACCTTTTCCAACCTTCTCAATACCCACTCTCTTCCTTTGCCTATAATCCCCTCACTTGTTTCAGCCTCTAAAGTTTACATGTGTCCTGTCATTTCCCATAACATCTTAATCTATCATTCTCTGTCTTCATTCCTTTTCAGCTCTCGCCGTGTCTGTCTTTGGAGAGGATGCATGTGTGTACAGTAGCTCTTGGTGTTTGTTTTCACACCGATGCATTAGAAAAATATAGATTTTGCTCTAAGGTTACAGAATTCCAGAGCGGCCCTGCAGAATCCCACACCTTCAATACTTCTCCAGTTACAGTGTGTGTATTGTTACCACTCTACACTATAATTGTGGTTGTGTGGAGCCAAATACATGTACACATCATCCAGAATTAGAGCTCTGTCATAGGACTCTTATTTGATGCTTCAAATATGGCTGATGTCTTTTAAGTACGCTATTGTTGACGCTGTTGGTGTATAGTATAGCTATCTGGTGCCCAATGTATATTCTATATCTTGTATATTGACTGAAAAACAACTGAGAGCCTCTGCTATTATGTTTCTGAAGCATTGCTTTTTAGTATTCCCCATTTGGACCACGTGGAGAGGATGTAAAAATCTTTGCCAGATCTGACGACTACATTTGAGACTGAAGGGAAAGCCAAACAGCTGACATGATTGGTATGTTAGAAAACATTTGAACTACAAAGTGCTGGATAATAAAGCAGATGTGTGGTAACATAAACAGATGTGAAGATAGCATGAAGACTAAACAAATCCAAATCCAAGTGTCATTGTGGGGTTCATTAGCGTACCTGTGTATGATGTCTTCCAGCCTCTTTCCTTGTTCTTCGTCCTGTTCCAGCTGTTTCCGCCGTCCCTCCTCTTGCTCCGCACCCATTCCCTGGAGGAGCCATCGCTCACGCGTGGATTTGGACTGAGGAGAGGACAGAGACACGTTAGGTGATGTTACTTATTATGGAAGAACAATTTCATGCTCAATCTGGGTGACATTAAACAAGGACTTTGGCATCAACTTCTATGCCGACGATATGCAACTCTACCTGCCTATAAAAAGACAAAAAACAGCATAAAACCCTTCATAATTGACAAAGTTATTATATTGGAAGTTCTCCTTTGGTAACCGTTTATGTAAGGAACTTCTTTAACTACGACTCGACTCCAACAGACTGTACATATCTACAGCAACACATTAACACTCGTCAAATAGCCTGTCTCTTTTAGCCTGTTTGTGATATTCTCAGGTATATTTAAAAACCACTGGACATTATGGAAAGTAACTTGTGAAAGATTTTAGATGCCAAGCAGATCTACAGCAAATAAACAAACACGTAGGCCCACACAGTTTTTACATAACACAGACTCAGCTGTTACTCACAGGAGAAAACCCTTTGTTAAATTACACCATGTGTACACAGTATTATAGCCATTTGTTTTAAACATACACCCTAACATAAGCCAATGTTTATGCTGTTGTCCTACAATATGCAATATAGTCGTTCATCCCCAAATAGGCGGTTTTCATCTGCTTAAACTACTCCTTGTCTTGATGACAGTAAGCCAGAGAAAGCTACACCTGTTCTGTGCAAATGGTCTGCAAAGACTAAAATCCCAAGTCATAAGGAGTATCTCTCCCACACCTGCCTGAAAACGCCAAGATTGTAGTCCTTTGTTTACTTCCATAACATATTGACATCACTATGCAACACTTGCGCTTCTATTGGCTTGCCCTCCAACACTGGTATGGGTAAATGTCACAGTAGAAGAACAAAATACAAATATGAATCTGAAAATGAGCATAATAGCACAAATAGTACTTTAATGATTACAGTTTGGATTATGCCATACTGAATTGCAGTATTTGACTACTTCATGGTGCCTTACAAGTATAGAGAAAAATCTCATCTCATCACACTGGTGTTTCTGCTATTCTTTAACGATTTAAATATGAATGCCAGAGTCGTGTGTTTGTGTATTTAATGTCTTGTCATTGTCTGGTACTCTCTTTTGTTACCACAACAGAGTTGAGCGGGAACACTTAGCTTCACCTTTGGCTGGTTCTGTCAAACTGTTGCTTGGCTCTAGGCTGTATATTTGACAGTTAACAGTACACACACACACACACACACACACACACACACACACACACACACACACACACACACACACACACACACACACACACACTGACAAACGCCACACAATGGGCTCTGCGGAAATTATTCCAAAGCATTTTACCACCTGCTGTCAGAATGTGGCAGCTGGGCTATTTGTTTGTTTGTGTGTGTGTGTATGTGTGTATGTGTGTATGTGTGTGTGTGTGTGTGTGTGTGTGTGTGTGTGTGTGTGTGTGTGTGTGTGTGTATATATGTGTGTGTGTGTGTGTGTGTGTGTGTGTGTGTGTGTGTGTGTGTGTGTGTGTGTGTGTGTGTGTGTGTGTGTGTGTGTGTGTGTGTGTGTGTGTGTGTGTGTGTGTGTGTGTGTGTGTGTGGCTGCTGCACACCCAGATAGCCAGGCTCAACTGACATAGATCATTTTCATTACGAAGTCAGAGTTGTAAGCCAGAGATATTTTGAATTTTGAATGAATCTCAAGTTGCATGACCTGTTTGCCAACTAGACTGAAAGAATGTGATTCTGCTTAATACCACAGGCAAGGAGGTCATGTTTTGTGTGTGTTTGTCTCTTTGAAATCAGGATTAATGAAGAATTACTGGCCTGGTATTCATGACATTTGGTGGAAGTGTGTAGCAGTGGTCAAGGAAGAACCAACTATATTTTGGAGCGGATCCAAATCATGGGGCGGATACACCAACAATTTTTTACTTTTGTTACCGTTACGAGATAGGTCGTAGCCTTTGTGTAGGTCTGTACTCTCCGAGTGCACTTCTGCTTCGGTATATAAGGCAAAATAGGAAGCTTACAGTAGCTGACCTTGACCTTTGACCTCACTGTGGAATTAAATCCATAAAGTTCTACAGTAAAAAGAAGCAACACTGCATTTTAGTAGTCAACAAAACAGTGTTAGATAATGTTTTGTATAATAACCGACCAGTTGTTTCCTCTGAGAACCAGCCTGCTCTCTGATCTCTCTCACGCTGTTTAATATATTTTCCATTTCCTGTTGAGCCTTTGACGCACAACCCCTCTGAGCTGGACTCTTAAAAAGAAATGTGGGCTTTTTAGAACAACTTTACTATTTATTAGAAAATAAAATATCGAGACACAGTTTCTATATGTATAAATGCAAGAGGCAAAATCAACCATATTCTGATGAGACCAGGCTTCAACAGAACATGCCGGGTGAGGTTACTCTGATGATTACATAGTTCCAGACTCAGATGAACGCCTCCAGTCTGAGAGGTTTGAATCGTACAGCCAAGAGGTTCTTATCAAATCTCTGGGCTCCAGTCTCCATTTCCTCTCCCATGCCACCACGTCTCTGGAGAGCGGACTACAAAGCCTGCCTCATGCCGCCGGGCTGTGCGGCACTCAGAGGTAATGGCCATTAAATGGTACTGTGTGACCAGAGGCTGATTACATCTGGAGTTCAGGCCTGCTGCCGCTGTATGCAAGACAAACTAAACAGAGCAGAACACTGGCTCTGGATGTATTCTCTGTCTAGCTTAGGGGAAGACAGGGCAAAGCACTGGTGTATTTGGGTTGGGGCAGATGTAGATAATATGTCTTATTTTCGTAAAAGAATCCCTCGGGATCTAGGAAGAGGTGCAAATGGAATATTTACAAGACATAGTTTATCTAAGTATATACTCTACATGATAAAGGCATAACATCTCCAAAATAGTAACAAAAATAGGCTTAAAAAAGCAAGAATTTAGACAGTTTTGTGTACTTTATATCGGCTCTCTTATGATCAGTTAGTAAACTGTTACATGTAATACTTGTGTTGACTTCCCTGGGGGTCTGTGTAATGCAGCAACACACGCCAGTGGTCTAAAGTGTAGTCACAGCAGTGGTTTGAGATGTCTGCAGTTAACGTCATGTGTAATTTGTTTTAATTATTACTTTGCATTCAGAATAACCCACATCATTGGAAAAAATAAAGAAATGCATCAGTATTAAATTCAAGAAGCAAAAATGGAAATGGAAAAGTCACATGTATCATGCTTAATAACATTGATATCATTTTTGTTTTCTTGCCAATGATGAACTCACGTTTCCGGCAGTGTTGTGTCTGCTACAGTATGTAGTTGTAGTAAGTATGTTTTGCAGCTGGGCTCACACTGTAGAAATTGACACTGAAAACCATGATCAAACCCAGGTGCTACTGCTTAACGCTCATAAATGGTTGTACGTCAAATACACACTGCGTTCATGGCTTTAATCAATGTTTCTGTTTTATCTATATTTCCATAAGTGGGTGTTAAAAGCTGGAAAACGCAGACTTGTAGGAATCAAACTCCTTTAATACAGGAGTCATTGTTGCCAAGTGTGTTTAAAGGCTCTAATTAGAGAATGGAATGTATTTTACTGCAAATATCGAAGCTGGCTACCATAGATATTTGTAGTAAAATTGGGTAACCACAGCCGCTTCCACACCCACGGTGCATCCGTGCAGCAATTTGGTCCACGAGTCATCAAAATGAAGGATGTGTGTATCTGTTGTGTCTCGATTTGAGAGGTCATGTGTTTTTCTGAGCTCATGTGAGGTCAAGGGACTAATTATTCAATGGTTGAACGGTTCAAGAACTCTAGGGAAATTACAGATGTTTCAAAGCTGCTAATTTTTCCGAGCTCACAATTCAGTCAGCAGTTTGTGTCTCCACCGCTTACTATTAGAACCATGTTTACTTGAAAAACACAATCTTGGCTTACCAGTAGCGGCTGGCAGTAATTATTAGGGGAATATGTTTATGTGTGTTGGGATTCGAGTGTTTTTCTTGAAAGAAGAAAACAGCCAAGGATAAACTCTAACAAGGCTGCACACCAGGGGCGCTGAGATGTGGATGTTCGGATGGAATGAACAGCAACCTGTCAGCCAGAAACTGACTAACACATTTATCCCTGCACGCAAGTGATTAAACACACATGCATGTACGTGTAAAAGCCACATGCAGGAATAGAACCAAACTGTAAAGGTGCATGATGTATCTAGAGCTCACTGTGTCCCTTTAACTGACGTTTGGGGTCAAGGCGAGCACTATCCTCAGAAAAAAAGGAACAGCGATTGAGCAGATTAAGAAAGATAAATGGCTGTCACACACACATTTGTAAAGCTCTTTCGTGAGCACTTTTGTTGACTCTATTCATCCACTGAGGTCTAACCCTATCATGAACCTTTTACCTTGACCTCTACACTGACCTCATTGTAATACATAAACTCAATATTTGACCTTAAACTAACGGTTACCTCAGGTTGTAAGCAATGCTTCATCTCTTACACATACAGTAGCCTAGACTTCTGCAATGGTCAGTTCAGTTGTAGAATGAAAGGCAAATATGTATTCACATATTCAGGCTATGAATATACAGATGTTAATGACACAACTAAACAGAGTCCGGAAGTACATTGCAATGCAGACATTTGGCTTATAACCCAGCATAGGAGCTATTATTTTTAATGTCATCTTTGCATAATCGTAACAACGTAAAAGAAGACATATTGTGCTAACTTTCAAGTTCATATCTGTATTTGAGACATGTTTACATGCTTTAAATGTTCAGTACCTCTTTTCACCCTCTGTCTGTAACCAAAGCCCAGTCTTCTCTGATTGGTTAGCTGGCCGGCTCTGTTGTTATTTGTCAACTGCTTAGAAATGTCCCGCCCCTCAGCCTATCACGTACAATGTATTGGTGCGCTAGCCAATAGAATCGCGAGTGTTACATGGTGATGTGACTGAATTGAACAGAAGTGAACAAAGATGTACAATCGAGGCAGAGAACTTTGGGATTTTAGCATTTGCAGACCATTGCACAAAAGCCTATACAACACACTACAGGAAAGGGAGAACCCCCAAAGTATAATAAGGTCTCTTAATGCACTACAGACTGTATGCAATTTCACCAGCCCCCCCAAGTTATACTGTAAACCCCCAGGTTGTTGGTCACAGTCATTGTGCAAATCCAAGTTTAACCGTAACCTTCTAAATCCTCCAGCTAATGACAAAATGCAACAAACCTTGAGATGCTGTAGTTGTAGCACCAGGCCATCCAGCTGGCCTCTTTTTTCTTCGATCTCAGTTTGACGTTTTCGCTTCTCCTGCGAGACAAAAAAACAGAAGAGAGAAAAATCAAATCACCAATCAGATATATACGGTCATATCTGTTTTTAATTGGCGGGCAGTGAAAAGAAAAATGATAGTAGTGTGGAAGTGGTGTAATAGTTGTGCACTAATGCATGCACTAATGCATGCTTGTGTATTGATTGAGTGTTTTGATGTAATCGGTAAGACAATATCCCAATGGGCCAATTAGGGTTCTCATGTATTCAATTTAAAGATGAGTAGGCTTTTTATACGGTATACTCCTGTTTAACTCAACTAACACTGACAGTCTTGTTTAGTCTACTGAGTGGGTTACATCACAGAAGCTAGGTCCAAGTTTCATGCCTCCAATACAGACAATAATATATCTAAGCAGGCTTTAACTAAGAAGGGTATCCTAATTAAGAATTTGGATCTGAAAGGATGTATAACGATCAGCAAATCCTCACTGGACTGACTCCATCTCTACCGTTCTGTACCACGAGACCGGTGGGAAAATGACACCCAGTCTTACAGAGGAACAAAATTAAGTATTAGGGGGGTTGGAAGTCAGGGCTTATGGAGGGTCAGGGGCCACATGCTATCTAAAGAGGATGGATTAGGCCTTGAAACCTCTAAATAGAGTGGAGGTTAGATTTGAGGTGGGGGAGAACAAGCCTTAACTTCATGTGGAGATGAATGAGACTGATGTTTGGAGGTCGGGTTGGACGCATGGTGATTGGGAGGTTTCAAATACAGAGAAATCCTGAGCACACTGAGGCAATGTGGAGTCACTATCTTTGGATTTACGCTAACGGAAATGCATGGGAATATAAACAAAGCAGATCCCAGTGCAACCATGGTAGGGTCTGAAGGGCATGGGATACAGTAGATGTGTGTGTGTGGCTCTCTCTCTCAGTGGGAGCAGAATCAGTATTTCTGGGCCATTTCCTGTTGGCTAAAAATAACCATCAGGGAAAACCCCAAAATGTGACTTAACGTTAGACCACCTCTCGAAAAAGAGTAAAACTGAGTGAAGGAAAATAGAGAGTAACGAACGTAAGGACATAGCTGAACAAAATGGCAGTGAAGAAACATAGGTCAGAACAAGACAGAATATAACTGATTGATCAGAAATAGGAGGCCATTTAACCAAATAATGCTAGGGAAACAAAACTGAAAACATTGTCCGTTATTCCCACCCTTTACATGATATTTCGGCTGGTTGTGGGTGTGCAAATAACGACTTTATTAGGCCATAGTAGCAAAAGGAGGAAGCTGGATTAATAAATTGGGCATAAAAAGCATCAGATATGAAACCAGAGATTGTTCTTTGAAGCTCTACTCACACAAACAACTCAGAATGACAATCGTTCTCTAACTGTAATCTAGTAGACCTAAACTTAACCAACGGTAGTGTTCACGAATCAACAAATCAGTTATCATCTTTTTTGTAATGTTCACATTGGGTGGTCTTTAATAGCCTTTAACACAGATAGTAGATAGGAAATGAGGGAACGAGTCAGGCCGGGTTATCAGGACGTGGTAGACATTGAATTAATCCCTTAACTAACCCATACCTTAGAATACCTCTATTTTATCATTACAGTTGGAAGATCACTTTTTTCTTGGCACTAGATGATAATGTTGTTAGTAAATCATTTTAAAGCGTTTTTTGGGAAGAAATATACTCAACTTTTTGATGCATATAGGAACACAGTGTTAATACATTCAAACAGATCTGACCCTTCTTTGTTAATCAGAAACAAAGGATCCCAATGGACAAAAAAACAGGGACTGCAGATGTGTGCTACAACATGCTTCCCACTGCAAAGCGAAGTGTTTTTAAAAGCAGCTGCTGCTGTTACAGTCCAAGGTTTCGGGGATTACCATAAAGTATAGTTATTGGAGCAAGTCTACCACAGACCTAAAAAAAACTAAATGAAGTAAAACAACTTGACTGTATCAGTGTTGCTCGAAGAAAACATTACAAAGGCGCACACATGCTGTAAAAACATCTGCACCAAAACTGAGGTCATCACACACACACACACACACACACACACACACACACACACACACACACACACCACACACACACACAACACACACACACACACACACACAACACACACACACACACACACACACACACACACACACACACACACACACACACACACACCACACACACACACACACACACCACACACACACACACACACACACACACACACACACACACACACACACACACACACACACACACACACTCACACAAGTTCCCATGGCTTGTAAAGTACAGTCAGAGGAATGGTCACCAGATGTCAAGGACTGTCAAGGACATGTGGTCCAGTAATGGGCAAAACACACAAATGCGCGCAAATACAAATCCACAGATACACACAAAAGCAAATACAGTCACGAATAAGTAAACTGATAGTAGACACTATTATGTTGAAGAGCCTTCAGGCAAGCTGTGTAGAAGGACAATTCCCATCCACAGCAATGCCCTGCTTAAAACACAGTGTTGTATAATAAATACATTAGTGGTTGCTAAACTGTCCTAAAGGGCCTTTGAGACTTACAACAGCTCTGCAGCAAAAAATACAGGCTCCTTATTCATTTCATGAAGTGACGCAGTAGGGGTGCCCACTGCAGAGGGATGTGGAGAAGGAAAAAACGAAACAAAAGGAGAGTAGTCCTGTACAAAAAATGCTGACAATGGTTCTACTATTTATGCTGCGCAATGCAACATAATCTTTCCAAAGAAACTACACCAACCAATCAAATATATCCAAGTTAACATACAGTACAGGTAGTGTGGCAAACTTTGGAGTGTACTTTTTAAGAAATGTAATGGAAATTACATTTGATCACTGTGAAAACGGTCCTGCCTCAAAATTAAGACTAATTGAGAATCTGTGGGAAACACAACCATTGGATTTGGCTGAAGTACCTACTACCGCTCAGGTCATCTGGAAAAAGAATCCTGCTTACTTGTACTATACTACTGCATGTACCGTTGTTCAAAAGCAGCGTCAGCGTTTTTCCTATTGGTATTCCCTCCTGAAATTCCCCCAAGTAATTCCAAGAAAGTAACCCAGACATTGACTGTGGCATGATATAAATATTGCAAACTCCTCCAGATTAATCAGAATTTCTAACAGTGCGTCTTGTAAATATTTAATGAACACAAACACTTCTGAATGTTGGCTTGAATTGGGTTTGATTGCCATTTAACTTTGGAGGACTATCAAGATCCCTTGGGTCATAGAGCTCCTATGAAAAAGTGTTGGATCAGTTCATGAGGCAAGCCACTAGAAAAACAAGAATTCATTAGCTGGAGGGATCGTCACTGTCTGCTCGAACAAGACTAAAAGCCGTGTTTGCAACCGAAACTGCTAAGTTAATAAAAAGATGAAAGCCTTGTTGAGCTGAATTGGCAGCAGTAGGACCCTGCTCTGTTTACTGTATTTTCCCCCAGAGAATACATACTCCTCCTCAGGAAAATATGTGGACATTCTTGGTGACACACTCATGACTTCCCACACACTGACTCACTGAGTCTTTGGCCCCACTTGGCCTGCTGCTTACACAGAGGATATGGCTTTCCCCACTACCGCTGACACAGTCCAAAAATGTGAACACTAACACATCATTCCGTGTTCAATATTTTAAATGGCTAAGCCCCATTGGAGATCTTCACTGTGTCACATTGGCGTTGGGTTATTTGGTTTCATAAGCCAACCACAAGTCACATGGACGTCACAGAATTTAGTTCTTGTTCTTGTTCTACAGAGGTAAACATTTTGGTAAGGGAGAAGGGGTCAAAACTCTAAGTATCTATGAAATTAAGTTCAGCACAATGGCTTTTGACCAAAACTAAGAGGCTAAAAGTCAGGGTCTGATTAAACCTAACCCCTTGTTTTTAGGTGGTTACTTCACGAGTAGTTTTGTAAAATGTTCTCAGCCCGAACAAATTCTTCAAAAGTACTCTTTGGAAGAAGACCAAAACTTATATTTTCATGCTCAGTTCTGGCATGGACAAAAAGACGGTACTAGACTTACAAGAAAAAGGTGATCTGAGTTTCCAAGAATGTCAATGGCCTTATTCACTGGACAATATCAAACTGAATACGGAAAGACACAAAGGAGCCAATCCAGACATGACTGGTATTAATGTAGCCCTATAAATCATTGAAATGAATCCTGACTTAGAGCGGGATTTACAGTCCTTTCACAGGACTTTTAAGTGGGACATAATGTTAATACACAGAGGGACGTTTAAAAGGCTAAACCAACAGAATACCAGGAAGGGAAGTTTGATTGGATGGCCCAAAAATCCAAGATGTAACTAGATTGGTTTCTCATTCATGCCTCCTTGTACACAATAAAAGTACAGTGCAGTAACTACATGGTGATAGGAGTCTTACTCACATATCTATATATACCGACTGGATAGCTTTCATTAAAAATAAATGTGTCAGAATTTGTACAAGCAAGCAGTTGAATGCAAACAAACGCCTACCTATAATAACAGCATCCTGCATTACTGATACACATGAGCTCACCCCCCTACACGAGGTCACTCAGGCGTGCTTTTAATGTGGTACGCAGTGATGTTGGGCTGGAGGTTTGGCTTGAGTTGAGTTTGCAAACAGAAGTGAGCTGCAGATCAGATGGGTCACATTCTGCACATGCCAACACACCCTGCAGAAGCATCTCAGAGTGAAGATCATCTTCCATCTAGCATGCAGCCATACCTGAACGCTTAGAGAACAGACAGAATGGACCTGTGCTTCAAATGTTTGATTCAGTGTTTACTGTGTTGGGAAGAACTTTCTACAAATTAAAATGTAAATGTGGCTCTTAGTGGGGACTATATGAATGTTAGGTCCCCAGACAATGCTTATTTGTTAGGTCCAAAATGAACATGCCGCTAACCTGTTGACTCCTACACTATTGGTGGTGTCAATAAATGCAAATTTAGCACGTAGTTTAAATGTCTTGCATG